AAATTTCAAATTATTTAATATCAATTTTAACGAATATATAATATATTTTTAATATTCAATATCATAATTTTATGTATCAGTCTTCATATTATTAATTTTATTATAAATTGTTATATTTCATTATATCAAATTATATTTTTAATTAATGCATATTAAATTATAACATAAAGAAATCATATTTTTATTTACATATGCACAATTATTATATATATATATAAATATACATACATGCATAATAACAATTAACAATCTATTAAAAATGTGCATATCAATCTAAGATTTAAAGATATGTATATAAGTATTGAAAAAAAAATAATTTTGCTTTTGTATACGTGTTATGATATTAATATGATAGTGAATTAAATAATAGAATTTTTAAATACAGAATCTTAATATTTTTATCTATAAAATCTTCTTAATAAAATCCATTCTTAATAAAATCAATTATTAATTGAGAAAAATAACTTTTCTTATCTTTATTAAATTTATTAAACTATTTCTTTAATCAAAAAGCAAAAACATCAAATTCTATAAATACGCGAATAATTTCTTTATTTTTTTCCTTTTCCAATGTTAAATATAAATGCTAAAAAAAAAAAAAAATTTAAGAAAAATATACAAAGATAAAAAATATTTAAAAAATTTATTAGATATTTTAACTTTTTCATGATTAAATCGCTGAAGACCAATATAATACTCATATTTCGAAATCCATCGTTTATTAATATATTTTTTTCTAATTAATTTCTATTATACATGTCTATAATGAACTTATTCAGCAGAAAAATTTAATTTATATTCTATTATCTTTTCAATATCAATTTTCTGCAAAATAATTTAATTTTGAAAATAACTTATTTTAGAAATAGTATAATTTTCTTATATCAATATGATGTATTTATATAAAAATTTAATATATAATGATTTTGTGTTTTATATAAAAAATCTTGTAGTAGAAACAAATCATGTTGATTTTAGCGAAAGCGCCATCTTCGATTAATATTTCTAGTAATGCACTAACATTGTGTTGTAAACGTATTTCTTGATTCACTTCTCGATTTAGTTTTAAAATAATTACATAAAATTATATTTATAAAAAAGTTATTTTTTAAAAAAAAGTTATTTTTCTCAACTAATAATTGATACTACATATCATTCAATTTTTATATAATATTTACAAAAATATTTTAAAAATAAATAGAAATAATTTTTTTTTTAGATTATTACATTATTAATATTTTTTTCTCATTAATGTGATAGAAAAATGTATTATAGAAATAATGAAAAAAATTTCAATTTCTGATAGAAATTTTATGTCAAAATCTTTATATAATGAAATATTTACAAGAAATTTTATTTTAAATACCAAATATATATATATTAAGGAATTTTAAGCTTATTCTACTAATAAATGATCAAAATTGTTACAAAATTTTTCAGACAATTTCTCATATAATATATTTTCGAACTGTCACGATATAAAATAAAACTAATTATATTAACAAGAAATCATTAAATAAACTAAAAGAATATAATATTGGAAACGTTTAAAAAATAGCTGTCTGACTAATATTACACATAACTACTGTATACTCTAAATAATAAAGCACATAGAAACTAAAGAATTAATTTGTGGCATAGATAATGTCAAGGATTCGTAATTCATAATGTATTGCAACGAGTTTGTAATAATTATAATGATAATATTTTGTTTATGTGTTTATAATGAATGAGCTATTAGTACGAATGCTTAAAATGACAAGAATGTTTTTAACTCACTAGATATGAAAGCAGTGACGTGAAAACAGCTGAGGTCTTCCGGCCATACTGGTTCTAGTTCCGTGATGTTCCTTGATACATAGTGTGAACACGTTGCGATGCGAAGTGATGCGATTCAACTTGAACCAATCGATTATTAAAGGCGCGATTAAACATTTTTTATTCTTTTTTAGCATTCGCTTGTACAAACAACTTAACTATGTGGCGCTGATATCTTTTAAACAATAAAATTTTTAAAAAATAATATAATAGTTCATGATTTTCAATGCATATTGTTTATTAATATTATATCAAATAAAAACAAATCTCATTACAATACGATAGTTATCGATATATGATAATTTAAATAAGGCATTTCGATTTGAGCGCGAAAATTTTTCAATTTAATATTGATTATTATTGATTCTTATTAATTGTAAAGTTAATATTAATATTATTTTTTATATATAAAAATAATTTTTTGAAATAATTAAATTAAAATATATTAATGATATCCTTTTTGTTTTCCATTTATTAAAATATTTCTTAAGTTTTTAAAAAAAATTTAATTACTTTCTATTTTATTTTAAAACAACAATAAAAAATAATATTTTAGCATATTTTATTACTATTTATTTTATTACTATTTATAATTACATATGTGTATAATATAAACAATATGTGTACAAAATCACAAATGTCTTTTTAAGACAAATGCAAACATAGAAAATATGGAATTAATTTTTCAAAAACATTCACATACTAGATAAAAATCACTTTTGATGCTATGATATTCATTCTCTAAGATCCAATAGCTTTCTTATAACGAGAATTCACATCATTCCAATTCACGACATCAAAGATAGCTTTTACGTAATCGGGTCGAACATTTTTATATTGTAGATAATACGCATGTTCCCAAACATCAATACCAAAAAGTGGTATTAAACCAGTTGTAGCTTGCAAAGGATCTTGATTAGCGCAAGTAGTTATCCTTAAAGATTTTGATTTTTGACAATACCCAAGCCAACCCCAACCAGAACCTTGAATCGCAACGGTATTTTCAGATAACCGTTTTTTCATTTCTTCTATGCTACCAAAATCTTTTTCGATCTGATTAAGGAGTGCAGCTAAAAAAAATGCGCTTTATAAAATTAATCATATTAAAAAATATTATAATATAATAATTTTTAATCTTATTCAAATAATTTATTTACCGTCTGGTTTACCGCCATTTGGGGAAAGATTGCACCAAAAAATCGAATGATTCAAATGACCACCACCATTGAATTTAATAGCAGGACTCAATGCAACTTGTGTATTAACATCACCTTTGGCAACAGCTTCTTTCATTTTTTCTTCGGCAACATTTAAATTATTTACATAAGTCGCGTGATGCTTTGAATGGTGAAGTTGCATAATTTCGGCGGAAATAATAGGTTCCAAAGCTTTGTAGTCATATGGTAAATCAGGAAGTGTATGTTTTGTTCTCACAAATGTATCTTTACTAAAAATAAAAAATAAATATTAGAACTATTTTTAAGACACAAACAAAAAAATTTTTTAATAATGATAATTAATATTAAATAAAAGAAATAAAATATACAAATTTTGTCATATTTAAGTTTTTAAAAAATATTACATCCATAAAATATCAATTTTATTTTTATTATTAATATAAATATTTCTTCATTATATTATTTATTTTTTATTTTTTAATTTGTATAATTTTTGTATTTTTTACATTAAAAAATGATTAATAGTTGTTTTATTTTATATATATATATACATGATACTCAAAAATACTGATATTCAAATATCATATTGACAAAGTACTTATCTAATATATCTATATGCCAAAGGTCAAACTAAATTTATATTGATTTTTTTATAATCACAATTAATTTAAATAATTTAACAATATAATTGAATATTATTCAACAATATGTTTTTAAAAAATTACAATTTTTTATACATAATTCGATATTATTAAATTTGACAGATACAACATATATATTTTGAATACAATTAATAAATTTTTGATTAACAATTATTATTATATAAATAACATTTTGAATTCAATATAAATGATCATAAATTGAATTAGACATATATATATATATATTATATTAAATGATCAGAAACAAATTTATATTATTATACGTTCAAAATTTTAATTTCATTATTATATTTTCAAGTATATATATATTAGTCTTCTAATATAAATATATATAATATTTACGATTTTATTAAGCACAATTATCATATGAATAAAAATTTTAATATTAATGACAAGAAAAAACGAATGATGAGGTTAGAAATTATATAATATCAAATATATGATAATTATAAATGAAAAATAATATAAACTTACACTGTATTGGAAAATAGGATACGTCTTACTGCAAACATTGTTAAAATGCGAATAAATCAAGTTACTCTTATATATTAATATCACAAAATCATAAAATGTAAGAGCAATATGCAATTATAGATATACTGTACACCTTTGCGAATATATTAATGCGAATGCGAGTAAGCCGAAGAATGGCTTGACTACTAACTACATATATACAAATATCAGTTATTACGTCACAGATTCTATTGGGGATAAAACAAATACTAAAATAATATTTCTTTAATTAATATCCCTTGCATATTTAATGAGATATTCTTATAATTAAAAAAAAATTAAATATAATAATAAATTTAATAACTATTATCTTTTTTTGTAGTTCAATTAATAAGCTAAAGATATTTTATATAACATTAGAAAAATAATTTCATTTTATTTTTAATTTAATCTTCAGATATATTAATTTTTATAATCGTAAAAATTGAATTAAACTATCACGTGTATTGTCACTTTTTTCTAGGTTAGAAAATAATCTTTAATTAATAAATTGTACGTTATATAATAATAATAATAAATTTTTATGTAGATATATTAAATTGAATTACAAATTATATTTTAATTATGGATAATTTTTTTAAAAATTATATATATATATAATATATATATTATATCCTAAATAGAACATACACATACTCATTGAATATTATACACTAAAATTATAAATGGATTAAAATAAAAAATTAATTTTTATAAAGAAATCAATTAAAAGTATGTTTTTATATAAATAATATAAAATAATAATGTAAATACTTTATATATTTATCTTTAAAAAGAAAAAAAAAATATAATTGTGTTTGTAATCTAAAAGATTAATCTACAAGTTTTACTGAAATTAATGTTGTTTTATATTTCATATAATTTACAGGTATTTAATAAATCTAACAAATAGACCTCAATTTTATTATACATAATTAAAAGCACATTTTATGTAATAACGAATTTTGACACGCATGTCTCACAATGAAAAAAAATAGTACATACATACAAATTATTGCGCACATAATCATATATAAATCTATGTATGTGCGTCGTCGTGTACCAGATATTAACATTTGTGTATTTACATAATAAAGAAAAGGCATAGCCCTAATTATTACTTTATTGTTATTTATATTCCTTATAATTGTTTTAAAAAATCTAACAAGATGAGTTACTATCAATGTTTTAATGAATTTACAAAAAAAGCCATTAAAAACATTGAAGCATTTTTTTATAACGAATACTTATTGAAGAATTTAATGCGATTTCATTGCAAGAAAAAAGAAATATAGTTTTAACTATCTACCCCTTTATTCCAACGCCACATTATTTTGTGAACATATTATCATATGTAATCAAGTGCAATTTTTTCGGCATTAACGTGACTTCAAAATATCCAAATATGAAATATATTTACAAATTTATATTACGAAAAATTATATAAAATTATTAGAAATATTTATCGTGATGTGAATGTATTATAACTTTTAAATATGAAATATTATATTCAACTTATGTTGTATATTAAGTCACGTTAAGCCTTATTTGTATATAACAAGTGTTTGTGTATAAAATTGTTCTAGAAAATTGTTCATTCTGGATCGCTTTGAAGCGTCTCACCATTAGTTAAAACTAACGCATCATCATCAGCTTCATTATAATCAAGAGAAAGAATACTCTCTCTTCTCTTTTTTTTATGTGTCCTTTCATCGTCACTACCTGGTGCACTTTTGTCCCTTTTGGTCCTATCCCTACCCCTAGTTATTCTAGTTAGCATCTCTTCCCCATTAGTTTTATTGTTATTTCTATTATGACTTTTGCTTCGTAATATCCTTTTATTATTTCGATTTTCTTCGTGTTCTTCTTCCCTATCACTTAATTCCTCATTTTCAACTTTAATTATCAAAGCAGCTGAATCACTTGAGCTTTCATCATTATGATCCGCTTGATTAGGTTTTCGTTCAATCCGTTCTGTTCTTTCAGTATTTGAAAACTCACAAGGCGATCGTTGCGATGACAACGGTGGAGTCCTAGCACCTTTGCACACATCACTATCTTCTATAGATTTTAAAGTCTTTGTTTCTGGAATTGAATTTTCCTCTGATTCCTCTTTTTTAATTGGTGGTGTATGAGGAGACAAACCATTTGTTAAATTATTTTCACTTGAATTTGCTTTCAATGCTGCATTTTCTTGTTGTAATAATGTTACTGATTCACGAGCTTTACGTAATTCTTGTTGTAAGAAATAAATTGTGCTCTGCATTCCTTCAACATCTTCATCTAAATCTTGTAAAAATTCATCCAATTCTGTAACAAAAATATCATAAAAAAATATTAATTTAAACCTAACATATTTAATATATAAATAAAAAGAATATAAAAACCTGATTGTGATTTTTTCATTTCTTCACTAAAACTTCTTTGAAGTGCAAGATCTCCTTCTAATTTAGCAATTCGTCCACTAGCAATCATACGACCTAATTCTTCATTTTCTTGATATAATAATCTACATTTTGCCATTAATCTTTTACCTGTATTGCTATAAAAAATTAATATATAAAAATATTACAAATCTAAATTTATTATTTATTTCTATTAAAAAATGTAAATTATTATTTACCTATCGGGTGTAAATTTCCAGGCACTAAGTTCATTCTGAGTGTCCTCTAATTTAGCTTTAGTTGTAACAAGTTCTTGTCTTAATTTCTGAATTAAAATATTAACAGCAGGATCTAGTAGAGCAGATCTTAATGCCACAGCGGACGGAGCATGAGCAGCTTTCATTTCGGCAATTTGATTCTAAAAAAAAATTATATATTAAAATTTCTGATTTCATTAAATTAATCTATGAAAAACTATAAAATTTACATACAATATATTCTTGTAATTCTTGTTCTTTAGAAGCAAGTCTCCTAACTAAAATCTTCTCTCTATGAGATGCTTCTGCATGTTGTTGCCTGTATTTGCTTTCAGATTCTCTCAATGAAGATAGGTCACCTAAAAAAATAGTTATATCATTTTCTTTTTTAATTGAAACTTTATTGTTTAAAGCTATCTATGTGTTTCGTTAATTTGTTTTATATTTATTCTAATCATTATTAATATAAAATTAAATTGTACATAAATATATGTATAATTTAATCATAATAAATAGATATAAAAATATATAATAAAAATATGTTGATATATAAAAATCTTAAAAAAAATTATTAATTTATTATTTGAATTTGAAGAAGATATATCTTTAATTAATTTAAAATATAACTTTAATTTAAAATATTTTTATAATTTTATTTTTTATGATTTTATCAGTTTATGAAATTAATGATATTTAATAAAAAATTTTAATTATATTTTTATAACTAGTTACTAATTTAAAATTTCTTTTATATTATTTTTTTTATAATGTATCTTTCACTTTTAATAATTTATTTAATTAATAGCAAAATATGCAAATTTATGAGACACATAGAGAGCTTGAAACCTTAAAATATATGTACATTTAGAATAATAGTACAGACTACTCTGTACAGCTTTCTTTTTTTTTTGATACTTCACAATTGTATATTCTTGGTGAAATAAAGCATAGTGGTGAAAATCTACTACATACTGTTTTGCCCTAAGTGCGCATAAACAAAATATGTTCTTATATGTATGTGACATTGATTGCCTGACAACTGACATTTTTAATTAGCGCATACTTTGAGTTTGGAGTCGTTGCATCGTGCCATTTGTGAGATTCTCTGTGCTTCCACCGAGACCAAGAGTGGACGTTATTTTTCTTCCATGAAAATAGATAGACTATTTGTTGCAGACACAGATGTTGTCACAAGATGACCTCCTGGCCTTATTTGATCAGGTTTGTATTTTTTTCAGATTGGACATCAGGAAGTTATGGTGCAGGTACAAATGCATGCATGAATTGCGTTCATAATGGGAATAAACAGGGATGGTTTGTCTAGGAACATAATTAAAATTGTTCAATTTTATCAGATATATCTATATATATAAAATGATATTAAAGATTGTAGATTGGGATAAGAATTGTTAGGATTGGAAAAAGCAGCTGGAATTTCAGATCATAACTGCATCAATTAAAGGTTTCGTACTTCACCAAGACTTAGATTCACGCACCCCTGGCACAGAGTTTTGTGGGCCAAAGGATGACATAGGACCTCTGTTTTTACTCTTCTGAGTGGTATATTCAAAGCCAGCAAGGATGTTGTATTTCATTCAATCCTCGCAAAGTGGAAACTCGATATCCAATGTACACACAAACACACACGCACTGTCCTGCATCTGGCAGTGTGTTTTACTACACTGTAGAATTATACGTGGCACACCGCACGGTCACTTAAGAGGTCATATCAACAGTAAGCTGTGTGTGTTTAGAGTAAAAGAAATGATTTATATATATTTATAGTGAACACATTCAGAAAATTGTCATCTCTTCTTGTCACACAATATCACTTTTTTTCAATATGCACTTTGCTTTTAGCATTAAGTGATTTTTAATATCAATAGTAGCGCAACTTAACACCAAATAATAAAATTATGCATTACTTGCATAATATTATATTAAATTTTTTGTATATGCAGTGTACATGACCGCACATCACTTCTGCTCACCAAAAAATTTCAAACACTGTACATATTGGCATTAATTTAATTGCCCACACTACACATCACAAATGTAGTTTTCAAAATATTACAATATTACTATATCACTAGCCTTTATCTAGAGTCTATTACCAAATTGATCTATTCAATGCTTTATATATAGCATGTTACTTTATATATACATAAATTTTCTACAACTATAATTTATTTATAGATATCATAAAAAATATTTTTAAAAAATTTCATCTATATTATTATTTTACTTATTTAGTGAAAAATTTTCAATTTTAGAACTTATAAAAAAACTTATTTTTATTATCATTATTATTATTATTAATTATTAATTATTAATTGTTATTATTATCCTAAACACAGTACTAATAATATGCTTAATCCCTAATCTTAACGTCCCTATAAGAGTCTTGTTTCATACAAGAGACCGTTGTGTTCTGGCATTCATAAATTCGCTTAAGAAATGTGGTGAGTGAGATGGTCTCACTCAAGTGATCTCAGTACCTTCCTGGGCTGCCGCCTGGGCCTCTAGACACTCCACATATAAGTCCTGTTCATGCCACTTGGCTGCTAGCTCGTCCTTTGTCATGCTGTCCAATTGCTGTTGTGTTAGCTTCACACGCCTTGGTTGTCTAGGTGAATGAGGACTGCTTTTTCCTCCTGTACTATTATTTTGTGGACTTCTTGGTGAAGATGGACCAGCAGATTTAACATCATTGCATTCCTCTGCCATTTTATGTCAGATGTAATGGAATCACACCCAGGATCTTAAGTAAGTTTTGAAGCCTACTTCTTCTTTAATTCTTTAACTGCAACGGGTGCGTTGATAATATGCTATTAATGCTAGCATACATTTGCCTGAAAAAAAAACTTTTTTTAGTATAACATATAATATACTGATAATATAAATAAATTAAATAACTATATACTATTAAAAATGTAATATTATTGATAAAATTATTTTTTAAAATATATAATTATTGAAAATAAAATATTAATTTAAATTGAATTGTTATAATCATAATATTATCATTATCATGAACATATTTATTTTTATATTCAATAACTTTTATATAATATATAAATATAATTATTTTATAAAAACTATAATAATAATACTTATATAATATTCTTATAGTTAAAGTTATATAGTGTAATGTAATAAGGTTATATAGTATAAGTCATAATATATTTTACTATTATATATATTAAAATATATTATATATATTATAATATTAAAATATATTATAGTATATTATAATATATATAATATTAAAATATATTACTGTGAATAATAAATCATCTATAAAATTATATTTATAAATTCCTACACATAATTTTATATTTAATTCAAAATAACATATTAATATTTGATATTTTATCGCAAAAAATTTGTAAAAAGTATAAAGTTATTATTGTTGTATCTAATATTGTAAACGTGAACATATAACATTACTATATACATTATTTACAAATATTTTATCTTCAGATTATTCTTCCACTTGTCATATATTGAAATAAAACTTTTACAAGGCGCAGGTTCAAATCCGGCTTTTAGAACATACCGCGTGATTGAAGAAGGTCACGTGGCACGTTTAATGTTTTATTGCGACATGCAAGGTAGGGAATGTAAGATCCAGTTATCTATAGTCGAAGGGAGCATTGACGCCATTATGTCGACTTGCTGCCATGAACGAAAATTTCGCGATATAAGATTAAAATATATTGTCTTATTTAAATCATTAAAATTACTTATATATATGAATTATAAAATAGATTTAAAAACTTCATACAAAATAATGCACCTGTAATCATACAACTATCCAGATGTTTGATTTAGTTGTAATAATTATATCTTTCCTAACATAGATCGTAGTATATTCATTACAATGTAATATCATCTAAGAATGTAATATTATTTTTGTTCACTTCACATACCTGATATACTGACACGCCTATCATTCTTGAAAAATGTTTGTATCCAGTATTGGGTATAACGTGAAACGATGAAACACGATACCATGTATGTATATACACATGCATAAATATATGTGTACGTATATATATATGATATATATGTATACAAATGTAATTTCGTAGTGTCTTATAAGCAAGTAGAAGCTTTTGTTAGCAAGTTCTTCGATTAATCAATCAAAAAGAGAATAAATATTATGTATAAAGTTTGTCTCAATGTCCCGCGCATTTAAATATAACATCAATACGTGTACACGATATACATATCACGAAATCTCTTGAAAACCATGCCACTATAGTTTTACACAGTAATGTAACTAATCATGAACAATGATTACTGCCGACCTCACGATCAGAGCTAAAGAAACGAATATCAGCGCATGCTCCAATCACAATTGTCCAACTACAGTGCTGACATAGAAATATACCAAATATTTTTCGATTAACACAATATAGAAAATATTCAAATAAAAAAATAAAGTTTCAAAAAATCACTATCGATCAGAATGATTTCTTTATATGTTTTTCGAAATTATTTGTTATTAATTTTTATTTATAAATTTATATATTAAATATATCACGTGAAAGTTCTAATATATATGTATATTATATTTCAAATGCCGAATCAAACTTCTGAATTACATTCTAAATGATCTAAAATATTTCAAAATGGCATGTTTAAGCCCGCCATTTTTAAAGTACTTAATAATACAAACTTCAGATAATAATTACTTTGTATAAAAAATATTTCTTTTTAAAAAATAAAATACTTTAATTATTTGAAACAATATATATTTTTAGATATTATAAAGTAATTAAATATTCTAAAGTAATAAAATATCTGAATAAATCTTCGTTTAAAATGATGTAAATATAAAATTAAAATTGTCTATTGATTAAATAATATAAATGAAAAAAAAACTTATTCTTTCATAAGACTAACTCTTGATTTTTTTTATTTTATTTTTTTATAGTTCCTGAATTTATGTTTGTCGATTTTATTGATTTTACTTTAATAGGTGTTGTTTTCATTTTAATAGGTGTTGTTTTCGAAATTTTTGTAGGTGGTTTAATCATTGAAATACGATTATTCGTTGTATTGAGCGTTTCCAAATTTGATGAAGCACTATTTTTTTGTTCAGAAGATGTAAATTTTTTTGTTCTTATTAAATTTCTGCAATTTAAAAAATAGGATATATGGCTTAACTTAAACTACTATATATTAACTTTTATATAAATAAATAATATCATTTATACCTATTCGATAAATCAGAATTGATTGTAAGATTTATTTTACTCATGCTATATCTTCCGCTTTCTAAAAACTTTTTTCCTGTGTCTGAAGGTTTTAATAATGAAGTATTAGAATTAGCAGGTGAGGGAATATAAAAACTATTACGGCGAACCTTGGATTTTGAATTCTCTTGTTCAAGTTTTAAATTTCTTCGAGTAAGAGGTTTAGAAAGCGTTGGTTGAATTTTTGGGGTTTGAGCTAAATTTCCCGAAATTATTTTTTGCTCGTAGCTTAATTTTGACAAAGACTTGATATTTGAATTTGGTCGAGTTGATTTGTAAGGACTAATAATAGCAGCTGTATTTGCCGGTGCTGATTTTACAGATGTAGCATCATTATCTAATATAAAGATAAACAAATTTATTAATAATTATCTAAAAAGAGTTATTTCCAAATTATATTTATCTAATATATTATAATCACCTTGAAAAGGCGATAAATCAATCGATGTCTTCGGTTTATTGATTAATAAAACATTAAGAGCTTTTTCTAAGTTTTGTTGTGCTCTTAAAATATATTCAGTCACATTTTTAGGATTCTCAATTTCGCTTTGTAAGGAAATTTGTCCTAAAGACTTAGATAATTCAGTAAGTATAGCAGGAGAACTCGTGAGTTTTGGTGGCGATGGTCGTGGTTCTCCGTCTAAACTTCCAGTTTCGATATCCCATGTTTTTTGACGTTGAAGAGTAGGTCCTTTTTGAGAAGTAGTGTGACTTACAGATGATTCGAGATTCGTATTCTTACTTTGATCCTCAGAAATACTCTAATATTGCAAAATTATTAGTAAAAAAAAATTTTAATGTCACAAATGAAATATTTACATTTAAATTGATATTGTTTGTACGAAAACATATTTCCGGTTGTGTATGACTTCGTGTAACATTTTTTTTTGAAGTATCCTGAGTAGGTCTTTGTTCGCAAAATATATTACTTATGCGTGAAATATTTAAATTTATATCTGTATTACGATTAACGTCCGGCTCATATACGATTGTATCAAACAATTTATATGATACATCACGCAAAACTCGTGTAACGTCTTTTGATAAACGAGGTAATAGATTACTACCAGTTTCTTCCACTTTTTGTGCAATATTATCCTGAAAAAAATATTAAGATATTTTATAGAATTTTCTAATTTTAAAATTTGTTTTATTATTATAAATTTATAATTTAATTTCATTAACATTGATTTTCAAATGTGAAAATTTTTTAGATAATAATTAAATTAAATCAAAATTATAATAAATATTTTAAAAACGTACGATACTTCCAGTAGGTTCGGTACCACTAATTGTCCAAAAAGATGCATCCTTAATATGATCAGAATTAGGACATTGACATGTAATTCCTCCTAATTCTAACACTGCTTTCATGTTTGATATATCACATTCGATTGCAACTTTAAGAATTCCTTGTTCAGATTCTGTTTTCATATTATTTTCATTTTTTTTAAAGATAAGTGGATCATTATATTTTTCAAATGAAAGCAATTTAAATCCGATCGCTTGTAAAAAGGTAGCTAATATTGATACATCTAGTTTTGCAGAATGTCGAATATCGCGCATTTCTTCATCAACATGCGCATGTAGTCCGTTTATCCATTTGAGTACCCATTGGTAAAACTTTCGTTGTGCACTTGTAGATTGTGAAAGAACACACGTACCGGTATCCATCTCGAAGAAACATAAACTGAATAGCATAGAAAACAAACTGTTCTTGAGATTCATGTTTAAATTTTTTTTATTGATAACGGAATTATTAGTAAATTCATATTTGTATTGAATATATAACAGTTCTTGTTATTGAATTATAAACATTCAAAATAATACAAGTAAGCAATGTTAATATATATACAATTTACATATGAAATTAAATTAGTTTCATTATTTAATAATTTCTCTAAAATATTATATGTGAATATAATGTGTATACACTACGTTATTAACATGTTAAAAATATTTATTTAAGTATTTTTTTTATTTCTATTTAAGTAGACAAATTAATATTTTTTTATAAATTTCATATTTCTAATTTTTATTTATAATTATTAACAAAAATTAAAACACAAATGAAATAATTGTTATATCATGATGTAAGAATTATTTTGTAACTGAATTCAAATTATACATATTCGAATTTTTTTGAACTTTATTATGCATATTTTATAAAAATTATATTGTAGCTTTTATAGATATTCTATTATTATATCAATTGTTATTTTATATATATTATATAATGTTATTATATATAAAATTTTGCATTATATATATTTAGGTTATATTAAATAAGATAAAAATTAATTCTAAGGTTTTCTTAATTATATATTTAATTATATATTTATTTTTTATATTTTTTTTTACTTTATTATATATTTAACTTTTTTTTTTTATTTATAAATTTTTTGTATATAAATATATATATATATATAAATATAATAATTTATTGTATTTTTTATTTATAAATCAATATTTATTTCATTTTCTTTATTTCAGGATCTATGAAAGATCAACTATTTTATAATGAAAATATTTTTAGAAGTTGCTATAGCATCTGCTGTTGTATCTATACAAACTCTTCCACAAATTTGGTTTTTAGATTATTATAGGAAATTTAGAAGTAGATATGAGTAAGTATAAAAAAATATTAAAAAATATTAAGAATTTTATAATATAAAATTATTAATTTTATCAAATTATATAATAGTTTTAATAATAATGAAATACCAGTTCGAAAAGATATTCAACAAAAATTTCAAGAAGTAATAAATGATTTACATATACCAAAATCAATAAGTGAAAAAATTAAACTTTTCAATGTTTATGATATAAATATATTTCATGCTGGAACAACATATACAAAATATGGTGCTATAATTGGAATTCCAGTAAATTTTGAATATGATGATATTAAAAATATGACAGAACAAACCATAACATTTCGAAATATACAAGTTAATTGGAATCCAGAAATTAATAAAGAATTTCAAAAATCTTTAATACTTTCAAAAGATGCCCAAAAATTTTTAATGGCTCGCAAAATTTTAACAATTACAGAAAATTATTTGTTATATGAAATACTTGATTTATCTTTAAATACCATAATAGGAATAATAATATATGAACTACTGTATTTAGTATTAAAAGTTACCAAGAAACAAAGAGGCAAAAATATTTTTTGTATGAGTATTGCTACATTTACAAGTAGTTTTCTCTGGTTATTAACAAGCAATGCACAAGATTATTATAAAGAACTCCAACTCAATGAGAAAATGGCTACACTTAATGATAAATATATTAAAGGTGGTATAGAATATTATGAAAAATTATCAAAAAGAAATAAAGCCTTGAGAGTACTTTTAGGGGAAAAAGGTACATATCTATTTACATCTGATGGAAATGAGAATACTTTTTTTGAAAAGTCAATTCCAGTTTCTGACCAAATAGATTATTTTAAAGCAAAAATACAAAATATCCAATTAACATAGTATCTATACAGTGTATAATATAATATATATATTATTTAAAAATTGTAAAAAAAAATTGTAATAATAAATTGTAATAATATTAAATTTATTATTATTAATTTTTAAATTAACTTTATTTATTAATATTTATTAATTACATAATTTATGTACAATACAAGTATTATTTTTAAAGATATTCTTATTTATAATAAAATTAAATGTTTCAAATTAAACTATTTATAAAATATTATATACTTTTGACATGTTTTCATTTTATGTAAAAAATTATAAGAAAAAAAATATTTATGTATATATATTTAAAGTTATGACAACTTTATAACAATAATTTTTTATTCTATTATAAATGGTTATAAAAGTTAATAAGTAATAGCATGCTTATTGATGAACAATTTAATGTGAATATTTATAATTCTATCATAATAAAATTTTATATATATATAAAATACAATAAGAAGCAAAGTAATTATATTTAATCGTTTTTACCTGTAAATTGTGTAAAATTTTTTACAATATTTTCCTTTAACATTTATAATATTGATGGAATAGATCCTTTTAAAATATATATTCCATAAATAAATACAAGATACTTACAACCTAATATACAAAAGTACTTACACAATTTTTAAAGATATAGTATTTTGCACTATGTGAGACCTAGAGAACCAAGCTGAAACATCAAAAAATTAAAATTTAAAATAAGAAAACATTATATAAGATATTTATGAAAGTTTTCAAATTTCTAGAATATATAATATTCATTAAAATCGATAAAAAATTTTTTAAAAAATTAGTTTTATTTAATAAAAATAATTTATTTATTAAAAATAATTTATTTTTATTGAATTTAATATATTTTTTAAAAAAATATATTAAAAAAATAAATTTTTAAATTAATGTTTTTTAAATTGATTTATTTTAAAAATTTGTTACCAATGTCATCTTATCTTCTTCTTTTTTAAGTATTTTTGCTGTTTGTTCTTGATCAAATTTAACAACTGCAGCAATCACTCTAGCAAGCACCATTGTTTCTCTTCCCATCATGTATTCAAATAAAATGTTTCTGAGATATTCAATTTCTGTTGAATCTTCTAATGTATCATGTCTTAACTTCATTAATTTTCGAAGTTCGGCTAATTCTCGTCTTTGAGCTGTTAGAGTTTGTTGAAGTGTGTGGAAAGAACCAGTATTTGATTGTACAGCTGCCATTGCAACTCGTGAAGTGCTCTCTAATTCCTAAATAAAATTTCATTTTTAATGAATTTTTTGCTCATTATTTTAATTAAGATTTAATTATACATATTAAAAAAAATACAATTTTAAAATATAATTAATTGAGTTGAATGAAACAAATTGAGTAAAAGATTTTACCTTATCAATTAAATCATTTTGTATATCAGGCTGGAAAAAATAAATAAAAGTAAATAAAAATAATAAATAATAATAATAATAATAAATAAATATAAATAAAGTTATAGAAAATTAAAAAAGTAATATATGAAATTGAAATAAATAACAAAAGAAATTTTAAAGTGAATAAAATATAAAATATAAAATATGATATTATAAAATATTTTATTTCAACTAACCCTTCTTTCATTTCGCCATTCTCGCGTTAATTCATTAATTTCTTCCTCATGTTTTGCTTCCAATATATTAGTTTTTTGTTGTATAACTGATTTCCATTTTTTTTCTATTTCTTTAATTTCATCTGTATGATCTTTCTTCATTATTGTAATCTTTTCCATTAATTGATTTATATCTTTTGCTTTTTGTGACATCAAATTTTTATTTTCTAAAATTAAATTCTCAATTTGTTCAGATTTGGCTGTTAATTCTATTTGAAAATCTTTTAATTGTTCTTTGTATTGTTGTATAAGATTTGATTCATAATTTTGTTGACGATCTAAATAAGAAATATTATTTATGTTATTACTTATAATATAATAAAATAATATAATATTTATATAATTATATAAATTATATAATTTAATAATTATATATTAATAATTTTATATAATTATAATTATATTAATTATATAATTTATAAAATTCTTATTATAGAATTCATCATTATAGAATTCTTATTAATCAGATAATTAAAAAAATAATTTTGAATATAGAATAAATTTATAGAATAAATTTATAGAATAAATTTTTAATTTACCAAATCGTTTTTCTAAGGCAGCATGTAGCTCTTCTTCCTTATCATGCAATTGTGCTTGAAATTCCTTAACCAATTGTTTTAATCTCATACTTTGTTCTTCTTCATTTATTTTTAATTCTTGTTTCAAATTATCTACTTGATTTTTCAATTCATTACTAATAAATTGCATTTCTAATTCTTTTGCTTGGAATGTTATTAATGCTTCATCTAGTTGTGCTTCTAATTTTTTATTTTCTTCTTCTAATTTATCATTTTTTTGTATGGAAAAGTCATTTACAATATTATTACTATTTATATTTTTTATTTCTTCATTCAATGCAATATTTGATTCTCTAAGAACTTTTATTTCATTTTGTAACTCAGTAATTGTTTCTTTTAAATGTTTGACTGTATTTGTCGATTTTGTTGTTTCTGCCATTGTTTCTTCTTCAGTGGTTGAAAATTTTAATCTCTCAATTTCTTTTAATAATTCCATATTTTTTGTATCTAATAATTTTAATTCTGCTACTTTTTCATCTACTGTAACTTTTAATTCATCTATTTCTTTAGTTAATTGTTCCTTTTCTATATTTTCATTTTGTATTTCAAATAATAATTCTTTATTTGTAGTTTTTAATGTATCAAGTTTATTTTTTAATTCATTATTTTCACATTCTATTTGATTTAAATTGGAAATCTTAGATTCTAAATTATTTACATAAGATTGAAGTTTTGTATTTACATTTTCTAATTCCATAGTTTTATTTTTCAAAGATAAGTTTTCAATAATTAATCCATTATTTTGAGATTGTATCTCTTCTAAATTAGCTTTTACTATATTTAAATTATTTATTTCTAAATTTAAATTATTAATTTCTTCTTCAACAACTTTTAATCTTTTAACTTCTTTGTTTAAAAATTCTAATTTCATTAAAAGTTCTTTATTTTTTTCTTCTATTTCATTATTATTTTTTAAAGCTAAATTTAACTTATCTATTTCATTATGTAAATTTTCATTTTCTTTTGTTAGATATTCTTTAGTCTCTTCTATTTTTTTTTTATGTGATGTTAATTCCTTGATTTGGAAATTCAATTTTTCACTGTTACACTGTAATTCTGAATTTAATAATACAATTTGATTTTTTAAGTTTTCTATGTGCTGTTTTTGTTCATTTAAGGAAATTTTATATGATTCAATT